CATATACTGTATAGTGCGTAAATAACTTTTATATTATTAGTATATTTTAATATGTTATTCATCTTACTATTTAGTAGACCAAATTAAGCGTATTATACAGAGTTATTTGTTGTTACGTGATAGATCACTTTAATCTAATAGTGTCCATTAAACATGGTTAGGCGTACGTCACTTAAGCTCTTCTGACTAATAGAAAAATACAATCATAAAAGTATACCATTTCTCAATTAATGGTACAAATACAGCAGTGGAGACAACAATAAAAACTTGGGAGGTAAAAGTCACTAATTATTTGTATCTGAAGATTTTAGAGCCAATCGATGATGATACAAATAAGCGTCCTATACAAATGCCTCGTAAAATGGGCCGGCGTTGTCCAATAAAGGATGTGTACTCGACTTTGAGTCGCAATACTTTGTCTGGAGAATTTGACGACCAACTTAAAGTTTGACAAATCAAAAGAACAAAATAATACTCCCTCTGTCCTCAATTTCACTTCACGTGAACCTATATTTTTTTAGTTCGTGCCAAAAATAATAATTTATTTTTTTATTTAGAAATAATTTATCTTTATACAATAATTTATAGCCATATAAAATATATGTGTTTTATTCTACACCACAAGTTCAAAAATCTTCTTTCTTTTTTTAAACTTCGTGCGGCCCAGTCAAATGGGTTCATTGAAACGGAGGAGTATAACATAGCGCGGTGAGGCTTTTACCGGTAAAATACCTCCACTAACCGTTAGGCAGTATCAAATACTACTAGTATTTTTGTCGTAAAACCAGAAAGAAATATGTTAAATACACGTGTAAACTGTTAGTTAATTAAGTTGTCGATATCATGGTCAATTTTCAACCTTTAACTGAAATTCCTTGGGGCTCAACAAACTTCTCCTTCTATAAATACCCATCCTTTCTCTCCTTAATTAGCCCATCAACACAATCGCTGTATTTTTCATTATTTTAGAAACTATAACCCACCATATATATATATACTTGAACAAATCTCCTTCATTCTATATACAGAGAGAAAGTGATCGATCGAGTGAATGGAGTTTAAACAGTTTTCTCAAGTTGCTATCCTGCTAGGCATGGTTGTCATTCTTATTTTCTTTGTATTATGTAAAGTATTATATTCTTGGTTGGTGCTGCCCAAACTGAAATATCAGAAGCTTAAGGAAAATGGATTTGAGGGACCAGCACCAAGTTTCCCTCTTGGAAATATTAACGAAATGAAGAAGGAGCTGATGAACACAGCTTCTTCTGCTACTTCGTCACCTTCTCTTTCTGCCTTAAAAATTAGCCATGATATCCATTCATTGGCATTTCCATACTTCGCTAAGTGGCAGAAATTACATGGTATATTCAGCAGCTTATTGATATTCACTTAAGACTACGTACAATAGGTATATAGTACTATTTTCTTGTTCATTGAAGCATTCTTTATATATATATATATATGCAGGAAAAGTATTTATATACTGGCTGGGAACAGAACCATTTGTTTACATAGCAGACCCTGAATTCATAAAGAAGATGTCTGCGGGAGTAATGGGCAAAAGTTGGGGGAAGCCAACAGTGTTTAAGAGGGACAGAAAGGCCATGTTTGGTAAAGGGTTGGTTATGGTGGAAGGAGATGAATGGGTGAGACACAGGCATCTTATCACTCCCGCTTTTACCCAAGCCAACGTCAAGGTATATATATATATATATATCTTTCTTCAAGCACATTCATATACTATTAGAAATCAGTTTTCATATCTGGCTCCACATAAAGTAAAATGATTTTAAAACTCAAATTGGTGAATGCATGCGATGGGACTTATCCATAATTCGGGAAATAGTGAAAGTTAGATTGTTGTGTCCCTACAACGTATTAGCAAGCTATTGATACACTAGTATATAAACAATTTAAAAAAATTTCCACTCAGTATATATATTTTAATCTATCATATATTTTATTCTTTAAGTTACCAAATTAGAGTTATCATAAGCAGTAACCTGTTGTTCTAATTACACTTGGTTCCAGGGCATGGCAAGCTTAATGGCGGAATCCGCAAAAAACATGCTAGACCGTTGGACTGCTCTCATCGACTCCGGGAACCCAGAAATCAATGTGGAGAAGGAAATAATTAACACGGCGGGAGAAATCATAGCAAAGACAAGCTTCGGCATCAACTACGAAAATGGAGAAAAAGTTTTTAACAAATTGAGAAGCATGCAATTCACACTTTTCAAGTCCACTCGTTATGTCGGGGTACCATATGGCAACCTCATTATGTGCCCTAAAGAGACTCTAAAAGCTCATAATCTAGGGATGGAGATCGATTCTCTACTCATGTCGATCATTGAAGATCGAAAAAAGATGAAAAAAGATGATCTTGCACAGCACGATCTTCTTAGTCTGTTGCTGGCAGGGAACGGGAAGACATTGAGTACGAGGGAACTAGTGGATGAGTGTAAAACGTTTTTCTTCGGAGGACATGAGACCACTGCGCTGGCACTCACGTGGACTTTGTTGCTGTTGGCAGTTCATACAGAATGGCAAACTCAGCTCAGAGAGGAAATCAAACAAGTGATGGGTGATGCTGAAATTGATCCCATAAGACTTGCTTGTCTAAGAAAGGCAAGCTATTCTCTTTTACCAATTTCATTTTCATCCAATTATATTTTGTGATTTCACCCAATTTTTTTTTTTTTACCAATTTCATCCAGTTAGTTTGGAAGGTGAGCTTTAATTATCACTTTAATTTAGAAAACTTTTGAACTAGATCGATTTAATTTAATTTTATTACGTGAATTATTCTTTTAGGTTAGGGATTTATGTGGATGATTGTATTCTTGGCTATAAAATTAGTCATTATACATGAAGCTACTTTTTTAAATAGATTTTCTTCCTAAATCCGACTCTATGCGGAACAATGATTCACTTACCATCTTCTCCCATATGTCTAAGCGTTGGCGGATAGAGTTATCTGGTACCTAATACTTGTGAGAAGCATCAAGTATTCCGTGGAATTAGTCGAGGTACCTACAAATTGGCCCAAATACCACAGTTATAAAAAAAATCTATTTCTCATTTATTAATGTATATACGTAGGAATAGAGCTGCAGTGTCAAATATTTGGAGAAAGAGAGTATCTCTAGATCTATTAGTTTGAAATCATCGCTATAACTGATTATTATTGGTCTGCATGTTTAACGTTCTCTTTATTTATCTTCTCATTTAAGTTCTCTTGATGCAATGAAAAAAATAAAGAAAAGGAAAAAAAATAGTAAAATTTTAAAGTTTCGATATATTACATGATGCCACGTCATAATTCTAATATTAAACTTTACACATGTCAACGCCCTGCAACCAAATAGATGGCTATGACCATCAGGATGAAAATAAGATAACCACATGTGTAGCACAAGTGGTCCAGCTTGTTAAAAAAAAGTCGCCGGCCACGGCCCAAGCGTCAATAGTCAATCCTACTCGCCTCTTATCGTCGCCGTTCTAAACAAAGAAATTTTTATATAAATAGCCAGTTGAATTTTCTTCAAAAATTAAATAAAGAAGGAGAGAGAGAATATAATATGGTTCAAGATATTCATTTTTTCCCCTCATGCATATATATATGACTTGGCACTGGTATTGAAAATTTTGAAATGTGTATCATATATGCAGATGGGATGGGTGATTAATGAAGTACTAAGACTATACTCACCTGCACCAAATGTACAAAGGCAAACTAGAGAAGACATTCAAGTAGACAACCTAGTCATCCCCAAAGGAACAAATATATGGATTGATTTGGTGTCCATGCATCACGACAAGCAACTTTGGGGCGAAGACGTGAATGAATTCAAACCAGAAAGGTTCAAGGATGACATGATACATGGCGGATGTAAACACAAAATGGGATATTTGCCTTTTGGTTTTGGAGGAAGGATGTGCATTGGTAGGAATTTGACAATGATGGAGTACAAAGTTGTCTTGTTTTTAATCTTGACAAACTTCTCCTTTTCCATTTCACCTAACTATAGACACTGCCCTTCTATCATGCTTTCTCTTAGGCCCACACTAGGATTGCCTCTTATACTCCAACCTCTTTAGAATTCTAGAATAATTGTTCTTTTTAAATGTATGTTATCAACGGAAAGAATCAAGACGGGCGGATGTCTTTCTCGATCAATTTTATATGTTTATCCTCTCCTATTTCATCTCGGTCTTTCTATAGAGAAATTGTAAGGAAGGATATCTTGTGAAACACTTCTCTTTTGTATGTGTCAAACTCGTGTACGATCACTTCCCAAAATTTAAGATTTATAGAAATGATGAAATCCCAATTTATATTACTGCGACTATGAGGTCATATGGTACGGCACAAGGGTATCATGAACTATAATCTCACTTCCTATATATTATAGATAATATTAAAATTCTAATATAAAATTTATATCTATTCTAACTAATACTAATACAAACATGAAAATATAATTTCAATTTGAGATTAGTACCTAATCTCAATAACCAAACGACCCTTAGTCTTGTACCTTAAAATTTTCTATTAGTCTTGTCGTGCAAAGGCTATTTATCATTTTTATTAGTTTACCAATTAATACTTTTAATGTTGAATAAAGGATAAAAGACAATCTAAGACTTGATTTCAACAAATGAAGTTAATCAGAGAATTGATCGACATTCATCACTGCCGATAGACAAAGGGAAACATAAAAGAGAAGATGTTGATTTAGGACTCAAAGAACAAAAGCATTCTTTGAGATATCTGAAGTGGAGTAGTATTTTATTTCCAAATATAATGGGAGTGTGAAATGATAACTCTATCCTTGAAGGAGATTATGTCAAGTGCTTTACAATCCAGCTGTCCATAATAGCACAGGAATATTTTGACTGCAGTAGCTAGAGATTCCTTAGTTGTATTTTATATTTCCTTGTATATATTTTTTATTCACAATAGGACAAATTATACATGGACAGGTATGGGACAGGTATGGGAGTAATACATAGAGTAAATTGAATAAATTAGCTACATTGTACATATATTTCTTTTTCAAGACAATACACACTAATTCATATTGGGTTCAAAATTTTCGATTTTTTACATGGTATCAAGAGCAGGTCGACCAACCTAATATTTGAAACCCTTATTCATTTTTCAAGTTTGCTCTATTCCTTATAATGGGAGAAACAACAGAAGTTGTAGCTGCAACAACTGATTCAACCAAGAAAGGTGTGATTGATTCAACACACTCTTTCTTTCTTCATCCTTTAGACTACCCAAGCATGAATCTTGTTTCCTCAACTTTTGATGGCAAAAGCTATGGAGCTTGGCGTAGAGCAGTAGTCATAGCTCTTTCTGCCAAGAATAAACTAGGTTTCATAGATGGAACTTTTTCCATTCCAGATGAAAACTCTAGTCTTCAAAGTGCTTGGGCTAGAGGAAATGACATGGTGTTGTCTTGGCTCCTTAACTCTCTATCAAAAGAAATTACAGAAAGTGTTCTGTACTCATACAGTACAAAAGATCTGTAGAATGATTTAGAAGACAGATTTGGTCAGACAAATGGGGCTAAACGTTTTCAACTGTAGAAAGAACTAAGTGATGTGGTTCAAGGTAACTCTAGTGTATCAAGTTATTTTACAAAAATAATAAGTTTGTGGGATGAACTAGATACCTTGACCAATTTTTTTACTTGTTCATGTGAATGTGTATGTGGAGCTAAAAGAAAAAATCTGAAAATGCACCAAGACCAGAGACTGCTGCAATTTTTAATGGGCCTGAATGACACCTACATAGGTGTGAGAATCAACATACTATTGACTTCCTCCTTACCTTCTCTTGGCCAAGCTTACTCTATGGTTAAAGAGAAATACATATTTCTCCTGTTTATCCTGGAGAATCAACTTCATTTATTGCTGCACAACATGTAACAATGGGTAAGAGAAACAATGTGAGGGATTTTAAAGGGAAAAAATTGGGTATGAGGGAAAGAAAAACAACTTTACTTGTTCATACTGCAAGAAGCCAGGTCATGTTGTGGAATAATGCTACGTGCTTGTTGGATTTCCCTCAGATTTCAAGTTCACAAATCAAAGAAAATACCAAGGGTCAGTTCAAGGTAACAATGCTTTCAGCACTGAACAAAATGCAGTACAGACTGCGGGGATCAAGTCACTTACTCAAGAAAATATTAGCCAGATCCTACAACTCCTTCAGCAAGTACAGATGGGAAAATAGGGAACCAACAGCTCTGAAAGCAATGCAGAAGTGAATTGTGTTGGTATATCTTTCTCACATAATTGCACTACTTGTTTTGCACATAACAACAATAAGACATGGATATTAGATAGTGATGCATCTGAACATATGACTTTTGATGAAACTGCTCTCTATAATATAGCTCATTTACCTAAACATTTGAATGTAAATTTACCCAACTCTCATAAGGTTAGAGTCACACATTCAAGTTCAGTTTCACTTTTTCCAAACGTGATTCTTCACAATATGTTGTATGTCCCTGCTTTTAGATTCAATTTGTTGTCAGTTCATAAATTGTGCAAACAGAACAACTATCTCATATTATTCACTTCTCTTTTCTATTTTTTGAAAGCCCCTTCAATGAAGAGGCCTCTGGTGATTGGTAGGGAGAGTTGTGGTCTTTATGTTCTGGAATCAAGGCATGTGGAATTCATTTCCAAGAAGTCATCTTCATCTAGAAGTTCGTTTGTGTTAGGAAAAAATCTATGTAATCAGAAAGTTCTTTCAGCTTTATTTTTCTTCTCTAGTAATTCTGATGTAAAGAACAAGTTGTGACACTATCGTTTAGGTCATATGCCTTTGAGTAATATGAAGAATATTTCATCTATTCCTAACATGTGATAATTTTTTTGTACCTTGTGTGATATGTCATATGGCTAGACAGTCGAAATTACCATTTTCCACTAGTTCAACTACTTCTAAAGCTATGTTTGATTTAATTCACATAGATACATGGGGTCCTTACAACACAATCACTTATAATGAATATAAGTACTTCCTAACTATAGTTGATGACTATAGTAGGGGTACTTGGACATATCTTCTTAGCACAAAATCAAATGTGTTTCTAGTATTGCAATCGTTTTTAGCTATGATAGAGAGACAGTTTCACAACAAAGTCAAAATCATACGTTCAGATAATGCGTTTGAGCTTGGAACAGGGAATGCACATGCAGATTTATTTTTCAAAACAAGGAATTTTGCATCAGACAACTTGTGTTGGGACTCCTCAACAAAATAGAATTGTGGAACGCAAACCTAAGCATCTTCTAGAGACTTATAGGGCTTTGCTCTATCATCACATCTACCTATTCATTTTTGGGGAGACTGTGTATTGACTGCAACACATTTAATTAACAGGTTCCCTTCAAAGGTCTTAAAGCTTAAGACATCTTATGAGATCTTATTTAAAACTAAGCCTAACTACTCCAGACTTAAATGTTTTGGATGTTTATGTTTTGTTTCTACTCTTGCAGATATTACAGAATTTCCTACACCACTTTTCAGTCCACAGCCTACAGATGGAAATCCTAGGAACTCACCAGTTGGACTCAGAAAATCCATTCAGATTCACAAAACTCCCTCTTACCTAAGTGACTACATTACAAATGCAGTGCAATTAACTGATGTTAGCACACCATGTTTTCTTTCTCCTATAACACCCGCTTCTTACTCTTTTTCTGCCCTCTCAACTTCAAATAAGTCATTTTTAAATTCACTTTCAAATGTTCAAGAACCACTAACCTTCAGCCAAGCAGCTCATCACCCAGGATGGCAAAAAGCAATACAGAAGGAGATTGAGGCACTAGTCCAGAATGAGACTTGGGAAGTTGTTGAACTTCCTGGTGATAAAAAGGCCCTCCCATGCAAATGGGTATACAAAGTTAAACATCATTCAGATGGAAGTATTGAACGACTGAAAGCGAGATTAGTAATCATAGATGATGTGCAACGTGAGGTGTAGATTTTAATGAAACATGTTCTCCAGTGGTTAAAATGGTCACAATCAGATGTCTTCTAGCTACTGCAGTCAAAAAGGGCTGGGGCTTATATCAATTGGATGTTAACAACGCTTTCTTACATGGAGATTTAAACGAAGAAGTATACATGAAATTTCCAGCATGTATGAACTCTCCAACACCCATACATGCGTGCAAGTTAAAGAAGTCACTTTATGGATTTCGTCAAGCATCAAGACAATGGTATTCAAAGCTTACAGGTGCTCTTAGTTTCAAAGGTTATTCACATTCCCTAAATGACTACTCTTTGTTCTTTAAGAATAAAGGAACTTCAATCTCTATTGTAGCAATTTATGTTGACGACATCGTGCTAACTAGTATGTTGATCAAGAATTCAAGATTAAGGATCTCGGAAACTTACATTATTTCTTAGGGATGAAAGTTCTTCGAGAATCAACTGGTTTGATTCTATCTCAACGCAAATTCACCTTAGATTTGCTAAAAGAGTTTGACTGCATGGATAAGCAACCAGCTTCTTCACCTTTGGATCCGACACAAAAACTTCTTGTACACACTGGATAAGTCATTCAAGATCCAACCTTATATCGTTCCTTGATTGGGAAGTTGAATTATCTTACTCATATAAGCCCAGACCTTTCCTTTACAATACAACATCGCAGTCAATATATGCAGGATCCGCAACAATCACATCTCGAAGCTGCTCTCCGAGTACTTCGTTATCTTCTTAAAGACCCAGGACTTGGGCTTTTCATGACTGCATCACCATCCCTATAAATACTTCACTTAGCCTTTCTATAGTCTTTCTTCCCATCTTCCCTTAAAGCGCGCTCTTTCATCCATGCGCATGGTTCTTACTTTCATTTCCCCCCTTCTCACGTAGGAGCGCATCTTGTTTTCAAAGATGAGTTGTAGATGAGTCGGTTCGATCACCCCACATATCGACAGTTTTTTAATGCCTTTTAAACTCCGTGATTCAGATTGGGGTTCATGTCCAGATTCTCGGAGATCAGTGAGTGATTTCTACATCTCATTAGGATCTTCGCCAATTTCTTAGAAATCAAAGAAACAAGCCTCAATTTCTCTCAATTCCGCCGAAGTAGAGTATCGATCAATGCGCAGAGTTGTGGAGGAGCTTACATGGTTAGTCCGCCTCTTCGATGATCTTTCAGCACCAATCACACTTCCGGTTCCACTTCACTCTGACAGTCAGACAGCTATTCATATAGCTAAAAATCTTATCTTTCATGAGAGGACGAAACATGTTAAAATTGACTGTCATTTTGTGCGACAACAATTCATCTCCGGTCTTATTTCCCTCTCTTTCATTAGAACTGACTCTCAGCTAGCCGATTTATTCACGAAATCACTCACCAGACCTAAGCATCACACCTTACTGGGCAAGTTGGGTGTTTTCTCAAATCCTTTCAACTTGAGGGGGGATGTTGAAGAAAGGATAAAAGACAATCTAAGACTTGATTTCAACAAATGAAGTTAATCGGAGAATTGATCGACATTCATCACTGCCGATTGACAAAGGGAAACATAAAAGAGAAGATACTGGTTTAGGACTCAAAGTACAAAAGCATTATTTGAGATATCTGAAGTGGAGTAGTATTTTATTTTCAAATATAATAGGAGTGTGAAATGACAACTCTATCCTTGAAGGAGATTATGTCAAGTACTTTACAATCCAGCTGTCCATAATAGCAAAGGAATATTTTGACTGCAGTAGCTAGAAATTCCTTAGTTGTATTTTATATTTCCTTGTATATATTTTTTATTCATATTAGGACAAATTATACATGGACATGTATGGGACATCTACGGGAGTAGTACATAGAGTAAATTGAATAAATTAGCTACATTGTACATATATTTCTTTTTCAAGACAATACACATTAATTTATATTGGGTTCAAAATTTTCGGTCTTTGACATTTAATAAATTTACCGATTGATACTCATCTAATAATTGACCTAATAATGATAGAAAATTAAGCATAAAACTTAAAACTTTTCTTTCTTTCGTCTGTAAGAAGCAATCAGAAAGGACGGGACGCCGGCGGTGGGTACCTAGGGGCTCAAATTTTTGGTCGGGGGTCAACATGTTTAAAATTTACAGTACAAGAATAATAAAAACTGCAGACAATAAAAAGTTAAAAACTGCCCCCAAAAGCGTAGCTATTAGATACCAATACCAATTCCAAGGAGTTGGGATTGCGACTGTGACGTGGCGTAAACCAAAATAACATGCCACTTCGTGCTTTCCTATGTTACTTTACATGTGTCAAGCCCCCAGCAGCTAAATAAATGGCTCTGACCGGCTAAATACAATGATGACAACATTCGGCCGGTACAGCTAGTTGGCAACTGATCAGTCACCGACCACAGCTCAACCCTCAAAGCCTATTAATTTAGATGCTAGTTTGACTTTGCACGGAATTTAAAAATAAAACTTTTGAAATTTGTGATCTTAAAAATTTAAGGGATAAAAATTTTATGGGACCATAATATTTTTGTGATTATAAAAGTTTCTCAATAAAGATAAAATGGGTAAAATAAAAAATTTAAAGTTAAAATTATTTTCAAATTTAAAAATATGTCATTTATTTTGGAACATACTAAAAAAGAAAGCAATCCATCTACTTTGTATGTCAATGAAAGGAGTAATAGCAAGGTTTTAAGATTTAATTGTTTGAACATATAATTATATTGGTATTTCAAATTTTTAAATGTGTGTATATTGCAGATGGGATGGGTGATGAATGAAGTACTAAGACTATACTCACCGGCACCAAATGTACAAAGGCAAACTAGAGAAGACATTCAAGTAGACAACCTAATCATTCCAAAAGGAACAAATATATGGATTGATTTGGTGTCCATGCATCACGACAAGCAACTTTGGGGCGAAGACGTGAATGAATTCAAACCAGAAAGGTTTAAGGATGACATGATACATGGCGGATGTAAACACAAAATGGGATATTTGCCTTTTGGTTTTGGAGGAAGGATGTGCATTGGTAGGAACTTGACTATGATGGAGTTCAAAGTTGTCATCGAGCGTTTTACGTATGCCTCAACGAGGCGTAAGTCCCAAGACCGTAAGTCCCATATGTATTTAATTTTTAATATTTTATAAAATAATATAATGACAGTAAATATTTATAAACAGGTAAAATTGCATAAAAATTGAAGAAAATTATATGTGTGTGTGTGCGCGCGCGCACACACTCTATCCCCACAAAAAACTAATCAAAATAATTTATTATACGCTACTTACAAACACAATTAACTTCAGTCTAAAAGAATAAAGTTTTATACATGAAGGAACAAAAAGAATGATTAACCTACAATTTAAACTTTGAACTTGCTGTTATGAAGGAGAATGGAGTTATCTTTGTATTTGTAAAAAAAAATAATATATATATATATATATATATATATATATTGCTTTTGAGAGATATTAGCAGACTAGCGGACAAGATAAAGAATTAGGAAAGACCATGAATTAGGGCTTCAATCAATAAAAAAAATAGACTTTTAAATTTAGTACTTTTGAGTTCCTTTTTAAATCTTTTGAGTAATTACCAAACAGACTTTTGGGAATTTGGGTATTATATGAAGGACTTATTCAACAAATTTTGTTTTAATTTGAAAAAGTCTTTGGGGCTTACTCCTCACTAAAAAAACGTGCCTCAAACGCCCGGGCATACGCCCCGAACGCCCAGGTGTACGCCCCGAACACCCGGGCATACGCCCAGACTAACGCTCCGAATGCCCGGACGAACGACCAGAATTGCTGGGCATGCGGCTCTTGAGACTTTCGCCCCCACACCATCGCCCCAGGACGTTTTTGGTACGTCTCGCCCCGAGGCTCGCCCCGAAAACGCCTTTTAAAACACTGATCTTGACAAAGTTTTCCTTTTCCATTTCACCTAACTACAGACGCTGCCTCTCTATCATGCTTTCTCTTAGGCCCACACAAGAATTGCCTCTTATACTCCAACCCCTTTAGATTTTCAATAATTCTCAAATTTTGCAACAAAAGGGTTTCAATAATTCTCAAATTTTGCAGTAAAAGGGAATCAACCGTTCGTCATTGTACACCCCGTTACGGTCTGAGAGGCAGCCACCTCAGCCTGAATTTCACTCTTGGTTTAAAATTTCGATGAAGGTAGTATTGAACTGGAAATAAAATAGAAAAGAAAGAGATCTTTTATTCGACCGTGCACATTCCTGTTTTTCATGCAGAACTCCGCTCACATCTCTCGTGTCTCCCTATTCTACTCAATATGAATGTGTTACACTGAACAAGAACTAAAAAAGTGGTAGAGACGATGGAAATCGTACTTGCATCCACTGTTTCTCATATACGACCAAGTGGCTCCATCCTATCTGATCGAACAGAGAAAGCTTTAGTTCATAAAACTTCTTCTTAGGTGGATCAGCATCATCTTGTATAATGTCGATTAAAACCTGATGTAACAAGTCCGCAAACAATCACAATTATTTTTCAGCAAGACTTAATAATAGTTGTAATGACATAAGCGAACAAGTGTAGAGCAGCCAAGTGCTATAGAAATGCACGCATTCAAGTCCAATGAAATACCGTTAAAGCGAGCAAGAATGACAGAATTCCCACCATCTCCCCAAGAAAAAAGTGAATACATAGTGCAAGAATTTAGCATGACCATACAATATTGAACTTCGAATTGGTGTTTGAGTGACATCCTGGTTAGGAATTACCATACAAAACAAGATAACTCATGCAAAATTTATAACCTGCTGTATTGACAAAAAGCCCAGAAGTAGTAGTACCTTAAGTGCAGTTCCAAGTCTTCCATGATGCCTCTC